GCGTGACTCTGCAAATTTGTACCGTACACTTCTACGTCTTTGTTTAAACTTACTTACCATCGTACTTACTAAGCAGCATATCCAGTCGCGCGGACCTGCTGACAAAATCTAAAATACACAATAGTATGATATTAAATTATTTATATTTACATAGAAATATTTAAAATTACTAAAGCTTAAAACTACTTAATGTCTAAAAACTTAAAAACCAGAAATAACTAATAACTTAATAGATAACTGTTAGTAATTTGAAATTTTGAAATTATATTTGTATGCCAAATAGGGCTATACAATTTAACACCTAGGTATGTAACTTTTATCCCGTGTATCCCAAATAAAGTATTTGATTTGTTAACAATTCACACCTATTATTTTTTTCAAAAAAAGGACCAGCTTGTGCTCATGAGTAAAAGTTATCACTACTTATATCAGTGATTAATTTATAATTTATTTGATAAACAATAAATTTATCTAGAAAAAATACTATAAAAAATGGATTATTTTTTTAGAGAAATATAAAAGTCCTATATTATCCATTAAAAAGACTTCAACGAGCTCTTTCTTTAAGAAGTAATAAGATGCTAAACTGACTGTTTAACCACAATATATGGAATGCTTTGCCAGCTCACGTCATCCCTTCCTCCGATAACCCGGGATCCTTTCAAAGAGACGTGAAGAATCAGTTATGAAGGCCGGCAGGGTGAGGATGGCTGGTGTGGCAGGTAGAACCGCTGCCCCATCTATCTTCGCGTCTGGGCTCCACTGTCACTCACGTGAGTGGAGTCATCTGTCGGACCTATTTATAAAAAAATGGCTGAACTTCCCAAGGTGCTTCAATGGCGACCTAGTACAGGGAAGCGTAGCGTGTTGGTAGACCCCTCACCAGCTAGACTGACCACATCAAGCGAACCGGGGGGATCCTCTGGATGCAGAAAGTGCAGGACGGTTGTGTTTGAAAAAAGTTACAGAAGGCCTATGTCCAAGAGTGGACGTCCATCTGCTGATAATGATGTTGAATCACAGTACTTTTTGATGTGTTTGTAATAATCGAGATAAAAAACACTTCCATACGTACCTCACGTATGGAAGTGTTTTTTAGTAAATACACTTTACTAGATTTCGCAAATCTGCAGAAACAATGGGCCATCTAACATACATGGATATGATTATGTTAGGAACGAGATTTAGGAGATGTTCCGACAAAGTAACACGATAGTTTTGTATATTATTTTCTGTATATTCTTTTTGTATATTCTAGCCTTAGTATTTTTTTAATACTATATAAATAAGGTAGGTATAAATGATATAAGGATGGCATTTTTGTAAATCCATAACTCTCCCACTTTCTCATTTAGTAAATTGAATGCTATTTGAGTTATATTACGCTAATTTAAAATGTAAAGAGACAAAGGTTTGGAAAAGATAAAATTTTATTTTTTCTGCAGTGCAGTCACCGTCTAGAATTTCGGCAATTAAATTTGTGCTATGATTGGTCTCGGATTCGAATACTTGTAACAACGCTTGTTTCTGTGATGGAAGAAATTGTTTATTTCTGAACTATAGTTAAAGTACGTTAAATTATTATTTTATGAAGAATTAAATAAATAAGCGTATTGTAAGCAGTCACCATACCATAATATAGACTCGTATGATACCATAGTATCACCTGTGTTTCAACCCTTACTCTCTTCCCTACTCTACCCTACTTATTAGGATAATAACCTAATTCTTCTTCGTCAAAAGTATTGGGCACGTATTTTTCTATCATCACATAAAAGACATAACATCACAAAAATATATTAAATAACGTCACTACTCCCCACTCCCAAAGTTTGACGCATTTAATCATTGCCATTTTTGGTTGATTGAAAAAAGAAAAAATACGTGCCCTTTATTTTTTTGATAATCTAACTGAAGGACTAAATAGAATTTCGTGAAGTTCACCTCGTCACCAATCATTTTTACTGACAGACACAACAGACTTAAAAGTTAATATGATTTCACTGTAGTCTTGGTAAAGGCGGGCATTTTAACACGAGCGGAAAATACGTTATGTCCTCCCTTTCTTATCTCTCTTTAATTATATCTTATATTGGTATAATATCATTAAAGAACAAGCTCTTATTAGGTTTGCACTACATAATTTATGTGATTTGACAATAATGATATTACCAGCCACCCAGCTTGCGATGTAACGGCATATAAAGAAACCTTCGCGGGCGAATGCAGAACCACTCGAAATAGTTGCATCACTGTTGTAAATGATTTAAAACGCATAGCATACATTTATTTATAAGAGTAAGATCCCAGGCCAGACATGACTTATTATTTGATGGACAACATATGGATAATCGAATGGTATTAGTGTGTATAATGAACACATACTCGCTAACTTGTGCTGTATGCCAATTTCCAGGTCTCAGGTGACACAGGTTCATAAAAATGCTACTAACTTTAGTGGCAGTATGAGGACTTATTCTTACGATTGAGTTTCTTTGTTTGGTCGAACGCGCTAATCTCAAGAACTACTTATTCAAATTGATTAATTCTTTATGTGATAGATAGCCCATTTATCGAGGAAGGTTATTATGACATCATGATAAGACTAATAAGAACGGAGCATCACTGAAAAATGTTGCGAAAAAAGGGAAAAATGTTCCTTTTCAGAGCATTCGTAGCGTGCGCTGCGTAACGGTTATATTTACACAAAAATCATGTATAAAGAAATAGTTTTCTTTTAAAGTTCTAAAAAAAGCCGACAGCATATTATGACTATTTTTTAAGGCTGACTCACTATAACCTTTTTTGGTAATCCAAGTTACTTAAAATAATGCATAATCTGCGAAGGTGTTTTTGTAAATATCCTTATCAAAATTAACATTACAAGTATTTGATTTTGATCAAAACTGTTCTTGACTGCAGTCAAATTTAATCAATATCTTAAGAGATCAAAGCTTTAAAATCACTCAGCATCAAAATAATCACCTCGCACCCATTTATGTTGTCCAATTTGTATGTTTTTTACTCAATCCCGCAAAAACTACTAAACGAATTTGGATGAAATTTGGTGCACATATAGTTTATGACCTGAATCCTATATCTAACATAGGATACATTTTATCCCGGAAAAGTGGCAGGTTCCTGTAAGATTTTGAAAAAACTAAAGTTAACGTGGATGTTGTCGCGTACGGTCACTAGTGTTGTAGAGATAATGTAAACAAATTGAAATTAATACTGCCAGACACATTCTGTCAGCAGTATTTATTGCCAGACATTTTAAATGTCGAAAGCAAAAAACACAAACTTATTTACAGTCTGAGACCTGATATTTATCTGTGATATTTAGGGAGCTATTATTATATTTTGTAAGCTGCCAGACCAAAAAGCTTGGGATCTTGGACTATATATAAAATTGGCCAACTACGTGTTGGGCCACGTGCGATGTAGGAATCTGTTTGTAGTTACACATCACAAAGCAATGCTTTATAGGTAGCAATTCTCTGAACAGCATAACAGCTCGGTTGCGACCTTGCCGCTATAAGCTACGGATTTGGGCGATGCGCCGAGTGATGGGAAGTGTACTAAATTGTTAGAAGGACGCCACGAAGCGAAGTCCACTCAGCCTATCGAATGCGCGCAGGCCATCGTCACTGAAATCATCTTTGAGCCAAAAGTTATTTTAATACAAAATATGAAGCTTTATTCCTTTCACACAAGAAAAATAAAAAAGAGTAGGTACCGCAATGAAATGGCCGCTCATGTGATCCTGGAATGTACGAGCGTTGTAGAACACCGGGTATCAATCCTCAGTCAGGACGCTCCTAGAAGCCTGTGAGAGCCCCAGGAGACTACTGCGCTTTTGGAAAGAGCTGGGCTGGCTGAGCTAGCTAGCCCAATATGCCCACGCACGCACAATAGACCAAGTACGAAGTCTACGTGCGGAAACGGGGGCCCACAACAAGTAACAAGTAAGTAACCGCAATGAAAATGCAACGTAAAATTCTCAGTAAATGACTTTTGACGAGTGGTTGAGATCATTCCTTGCAGTTGAGTGATTCAAAAATACGAAATTTATTATATTGAATGAAATCAGTAGAATCGAGCGTTCGACGTAAAGCGATTGTGTGATAGTGATTCAAAATAAAGCTTAAGATCCCAAACGGCTTGGACTGTCATTGCCAAAAGCCGCCCAATTCTATACCATTACCTATTCGATTCGAATGATCGTGAATGTTTCGAATTTGAATAGTCGTTATTGAGAAAAACAGAAAAATAATAATTTGTATGTCCCTTAGTAGGGTTTGTATTTTTTTTTATTTAGTTTGGGAAGTGTGACTAATACGCTAATGTCCGAATGCATCTGTGTATTCATAATGCACAAGTGAGATAATTATAAACTCATTAACTCGGAGAGCGAATGTCCGAAACTAAAGATAAATGTGCCATATGGTTCTTTCATATGTATGTACAATAAAATTAAATAATGGTATTAATAATACATAAAGGCATATTATACAATTTTCGATTTAATGTTTGTATACTACTTGCAGAAGTAGAACGAAGAATACTGTAATTCTTTAAGGATATATTGTAAACTATTGTTGAACTAAAAAAAAAATACTGTAACTGATTTGATAGGCTGAAAACTTACTATAAATTGTTACAAAATCTTGAAAATCCTACCCCGTTTGGGCTATGGGGCAATAATCACATCACATATTTAAAATTAAAAGTGTATTTATAAAAGTTCAGGATAGTTTTGGTGAAAATAAAAAGCGCTGGAAAAGTAAAGTAATTGTCACTGCTATATTTGACGTTTGATATACTTCATTCCATGAACTGTATACTGATTTTTTAATCATTTGATGGATCAACTTGACCAAGTAAATTAATGAATAGGCTAGGCTAGGCCCAGGCCTCTTAAGCAAAGTTATCCTTATGGTAATAAAGGTCAACATCTTCTCTACGACAAAAGGAATCCGAATAAAAAACGCAATTAACACATATTATTATTATCTGTATATTATTTTTTACTAATCACTACAATAAATTATACTATCATACATTTGCTAGCTCTGTACATATTTACACGACAATTGATTCTAAAATAAATATCACAGTTCCAAAAATACATCTACTGTAACTTTACAATAATAATAATTAAGTAATGTTAAGATTGTAATTACAATTATAAGTTTTTGAGAGATTCCGTCATAAAATTTCTAGTATTTGATTTCCGGTTCATTACCTGTAAAGACAAAAATATACTTTATTATTGAGCATAGACACCAAACATTTGTCTTAAATTGGCAAATAACAAAATTTCACAGCGACTGTATTTTTTACTTGGACAATAGTTTCAAATCAGCCGTAATAAATATTTTTCTGAAAAAATACGAAACTTATTTGCTATTCATACTTTTTGGGTAATATTTGCCTTTGGATGGGTAAAGAATTCAATTGCGTTGAATTAAGAAAATATATTTAAATAATGTAATAGGTTGAGTAAGAAATACTAGTTTAAGATGAGTAAGGAAATGGGATGAGAAGTCATAGGATGAATACGGAACAACCCAACATTTACTGTAAACACTTTAAAAATTATCGAGGGAAAATCAAATGAATCGTTTGATTTTTACTTTGAGAACGACATCGGTCTACCCTGCTTCTGCTTTAAAGATTGTAGTTACGAAATCTCACTGCAATCATTTATTTATATGATAAGCTCTATAGAAGTAAGTGGACCTGCTTATTAATAATTATATAGATAATATACCTACATTATTTATTTTCTATAGCATGCTGCATGTACTATGCTTAGTTTGGGTTTAAATAAGATTAAATTACTATCGTCAGTAGTTTAAATCAGACTTTATGATTATTTATAAATAATAAATAAATATTTTGAATTTAATTCATTTATAACAGCCATTTAGCCATATAAATTACATACAAAAACAATCAATCAATCAATACTCATACCAATTAGCCTAGCTCCAAAGTCACAGATGACCTTTACAGCGTCACCAGGTTTGGGAACGGCGAGACCCTAAGGGGACCTCAAGCCGAGAATTGGCGAGTGTCTCTAGAGGCATTCCAGGCGGATGTCATCTCCCCACGAGGGGAGACTCCTCTCCATCTGGAGCCTCTAGACCACTCGAACCTGAGGGGGTCGGCTCAACTAGAGGACGTCTCTGAGACTCGGACCTCCGCTCTAATTAGCCGTTGTCGTTCGGGGCGGGGTAAACGCCCAGGTACGTACCTACCTGAACCTGGTATAGCGTATGTAGACCTCTTATCCTAAGGGTGCAGTGTCTGCCTAATGCTAAGCTAGTGTGCAAGTATTCTAGCTATGTTTTGTTGTTGTTTGTGGAATGTGTAAGAGGAGTCGGAGGCGCGTTGGCGCGGGTGATTTCGTCGTCGGGGTACTTTAAGAAGTCTAGGCACGCCGACAGAATTGGAGGAACCTACGATTGGAGGACGGGAGGGCGGACGCGTGATAACTAGAGGCTTTGCTTCTAAGGGGTTCGGATAATGTGCGGCTTTATCGAAGTAACGCTGATCTTTTCAAGTGCTTATAAATATACTTTTTATAAAAACGTAAAATATAAAACGACTCAGAAGTCGTTGCCGTTGTACTCGCGGTAGTGTTGTGGAACTAAGGATATTTTATTGTTGTTTTGAAATAGTTTTTTTTAGATTGCAAGGTTTTACGCTACAATAACTTCATCTATGTCACCAATAATGTTTTCTTCTTAGGAATTATCAATAGGTAAGAAATTTTCTTTAACCAAAGTTGAACGACTATTACTCTTTAACTGACGAATCTTTCTTAACCGTTATAGTTTTTCTTAAAAGTTCATGAAAAGTACTATAATTATGAATATTTCCAGGTTTTTCAAGTCAATAGTTTAGCTTTTAGAGCGAGGGTAGACGCCCTACACGAACAAAAATTAGGAAAATTTAAAAAAAATCTCCTATTGTTTTGGCGTGATCGATATACACATCTCCACAAAATTACAGCTCTCTAGTGGTAGTAGTCTCCAAGCAAAAATGGGGATGGACAGACGGGCATGACAAAACTATAATTAAAGGTTCCTTGTCAGGACTGACTGCGGAACCCTAAAATGGGTGTACATATTTCTGACCATATAAATATTAAAAATCTTGTATGATTTCAATAAATAAATTGACTTGGCAATCGCACTCAACAATCTAATTTAATATAATAATAGTTTTTGCTCGACTTGGCGGGGGCACTGCGGGCGTCCCCCCCCCCCATTAAGCCTTACGGCCTAAAGTAAACAAAAGATGAATAAAATAATATTCGAGATAATTATGTATTTGCGAGAAACAGAAGTTCTATAAATTTTTATTAGGTCTTTATTTTTCAAAGGAGATTATTTCGATTTAGAAATAAAATTTTAAATTTATACTCTTTAATGAAGAATAACTTTAGCAAAGTGAAATAAATTATAATATACGCAATTGTTTGCTACGTTCTTTACCGAAATATAAATTCTGTAAACTTGAAGTAAGAACCTCATTTTATCTTAACTATTTGTATGAAATTTACTGAGAAAGCTAGTAGGTAAGTACAAAAATATGAACTGTTAATAAGTACTCTAGTTCACAGCTCCATCAGAGAAAGACTGTGAAGACTCGGTCTAAAAATGACGCGCTATACGAGGTATGTACCCGGATGTTTTTCTTCGGCCCACATGACAACGGCTTACTGGAGCCGAAGTTCGAGTCTCAGAGACGCTCACTAGCTTTGAGTCGACTTCGCGAAGCGAGATGCCATCCACCTGTAATACCTTTAGAGGCACTCGCCAATTCATGGCATGAGGTTCCCTCAATATCTCGCTGCCCCAAACGCAGGGACGTTCTAAAGGTTATTTGAGAGCAACAGCATACACACAAAAAAAACACCAGGGGATGTAAGTATGCTATAAGATTTTCCTTAATGCTTTTGTGCACCATAAGACTACAGGAGTCTTGAGAAAAGTCTTAGTTTGGTTTATAATAATCGTTGCCCATCACGAGCTTAAAATAATATTGAGCAAGCTATAAGCTATAGGTGGTTAAAGCAAAATCTAAGCACCAATTAAAATCTATAAAAGTTTTCTACGTTCACTTTGCCGCAAATTAATTCTCTTTCATATAACTATTATTTCATTAAAATATACACATATGGGATATATAAATATGAAAGACGCCGGCTACACATTATATTAAATATTGTGCATAAATAGTATTATAAAGATTATAATTATTACGAACAAAAATTGTTACGATAACTATCGTAACAACTTAGGTTCTTTTAAATCAGTTATAACCTTTTTTTTAAAAATCAATGAGTTACAATACAAGGATCTAAAGTTCAAACAACTCGGCGCTGTAGTCTTCATGAATAATTTATTATATTTCGTAATAGATAGGTATTTATGTATCTCGAACGCTGTTAAATCATAAAACAGAGACAGATATTTTGCATGGTTTTATACTATATTCGCCCCACTTATGGTTATTAAGTTTTAAAAAAACTGCGTGATATTAACTTTTAAAAAACTGCGTGATATTTTAGTATTTCACCATATTTATAAATTTCACCATATTTATAAATTTCCAAAGAAGCCTATGTCTTCTACACTTAAAATTTTCGAAATCGTCGTGCTCATCTGGTAGAATAAACATAGTAAAATTCGTATAAAGGTCGTATTGTATTTCTCTTAGTAAGGTTCAAAGACTTCACAGCCAAGCTATTATGTTCACGTAGACAAGGTGAGGACAAGTAGATTGACACAATTTTCAAACACCATAGAAATAGATAACACACTACTAAAGGTAACGTAATTTTACTGTGGTTTAATGTAAGGTGGAGATTATATCCCCTCTACAACGTCAATGTTGTTCTTTATCATTACCTTATTAGTTTAAAACGGGAAATATAGAATTTTCTACTATCTTAATGAAGATAGGCAAGAGTTTTTGTGCAATCAGGTAAGTTAAAGGTGTTGAAGAAATAGGCTTTTATGTGTTGATCTCAGATTGTCTAAGTCGCAGTGTGTCTTACCCCCATAAATGACAGTTAGATATAATTTCGTCTAGATTTTAAATTGACTACACGGCATAATGAATAGGTCACAAAATGACTAAATAAGTTGATATACTATACATACCAGTAAAGTCGTGTAAAACTTTTTTATTAAAAAATAAGAAAACTTCATTAAAACAAAACCACTAATAAGTATGAAATAATGCATATTCTTTACTTATATCTCAACTCAAATTGACATTTGGAGTCGGTGCCACGCATATTGAATTGATAAATCTGAGTTGCCATTTACTGCTTGGGTTGGCATGGCACTGACTCCAAATGATAATTTGTCTTTAAATGTATATATGTCCTTTTTTTTCAATTTCGCAGAAGTGTTGCTGTAGCAATTTTTGAAATAAAAATTAAACTCAAGCTACAAGAGTTTCTCAAATTAACGTGAAAACTCACTCACGTTTTGATGGTAAAAATCATATAATAAGTTAAGTCAAATTTCTATTGTCCTAAATGTACCTACCTCTTAAAGGTTGTATAATTTTAGCTTTGATTGTAATAATAGCATATTTTGTTAGCGTTCTTTTTAATCTAAAAGGACGCAATTTTCCCAGTTTTCCAGACCAGGAATGTTTTTTTCATTATCTTTCCTAATCATTATATCATCATCATCAGCCTATTTATGTCCCCACTGCTGGGGCACAGGCCTTCCCTATTGATGGAATAGGGAGATGGGGCCATGACCCACCACGCGGGCCCAGTGCGTATTGGCGGGTGCTAACGACTGCAGATGCAGCCGGGACCAACGGCTTAACGTGCCTTCCCAACCACGGAGGAGCTTGAGATAGTATTTTTTTGGTTACCCATCCAATGACCGACCATTGCGAAAGTTGCTTAACTTCAACGATCGCAGCCGAACGCGCTAACCACTTGCGCTATCAAGCTCCTCAGTCAATCATTATATAGTATCAATAATATATATAACTCGTTCTCGTTAGATCCAAAATTAATGTTATTTCAAAAACAAGTGGTATAAAAAAGCTCAGATGATTAAGTTCCATGGTTGCTCTATGTAGTGATTTGATTGGATTGTTAACAATTATAACTTACCTTTACAATGTTTCAGTTACTCCTTCAGTCAATTGAGCTCACGTTACACTTAATTTGTAGTACTGATGAATGTTCAGTTGACTTCATTTTCATCCGCACTTGTCAATTACTAATCTTCTATTTATTTTTTAGACATAACACGAACAGTCTCTAGAATGTTTATTTAGTATATATTAGTCTCTAGAGCTACTTCTGAGATCGTTCTGTCACAACAATCTCGTACCTGTGGACAAACAGAAACATTACGAGTATCTATGATAAATAATTCTACAAAAAAAAAATCATTTCACTTGGTCCAGCTTTCAGACAGTAAAGAGTGGATTCGACTCTAGTAAACAAAAAAAAAGTTTTATAAATCTTACATTTTAATTCTTAATAAATCAATGCAATATGTTTTTGAGTAGAGCTGAAAGCATTAACAAAAACAGAAAGCATGAACGTGTACTCGTATATATTAAATATGATGAATATGTACTTAAAAATCGGGAATCAACTAAGTCTAAAGAAAGATTTTTACTATATTTTTTTCTTTCTATTTATAAATGTAACAATTAAATGCTTAAAAATGTATTTATCAACTCTCTTGGACAGTTTTCTAATGTTAAATCAAAAATAATATTTTTGAAATTGTCATTTACAGGTGTGTAAGTAATTCCGGTAAGGCAGGTATTTGAAAAGGCGGCTTATTTCAGTCGTGCAAAGTTCGCAATATTATTTGTATTATCACACATTTAAGTGTATTGTAAGTATTTTTTCTTCATCCACAATATTTTTCTAATATCCCTTTAGACTGTGTTTATAAATTACTTAGGTATATAATATTTTCATTCACCCACTGAAAGCTCCTGCAATTGAATCAAAAAGATTTTGAATAAAGTTTAGTAAAATTTTAAACAAAAATATAATAAACGCATAAAATTTACCAACTAAAATAGCTAATTGTGCGTTCCATAGTTCTGACATTTTATTGATATATGAGGAATATACAATGGCGTTACATCCCTATTAGGGATGATGACAAATTTTTTTTTCTTCGTTTATCAGGTAGATTATCAAAAAGTATTGGACACGTATTTTTTCTTTTTTCACATAATATAAACATTGCAGAGATATATTGATTTGAAAAGTCGCATGACGTCACGTTTGAGTACATTTATAAGTGAAAATTCACTCAAAAGTGACGTCACGAGCCCCTACTCCCAAACTTTAACGCGCTATAATTTTGACATTTTTTGGTTGATTGCCCAAAGAAAAAATACGTGTCCATTATTTTTTGATCATCTAACTGCCGGACTAAATAGAATTTCGTTTACTGTACCCCGTCATCATCCCTAATTCATTGCAAACTTACTATAATATTTATAGTCACAATAAACAGAGTGCTTTTTGTAAAAAGTTTAATTAAGTTCATGTTATGAAAAACTTATATAACTTGCTTAATCTATATTTGTTGTCCCCAATTTACAGTCTTGGAACCGCCAAACGTATGTAAACAGATGCAGATCGGATGCGGATGCTAATTTATAAACATAAATAGCAGTTATTTATGATAAGCACTTCCGCTAAATAGTGTGGGAAATAACCGATTATACCAGATATGGGCGTACCATATGCTTAATCGCTATAACTATCATTCGAAGACGTTGCAAATTTAATACACAATTTACGTAATTTCTTTTTATACCTACAATGTAACTAGGTATTTTTGTAGTCAAATTGCACATGTCTGACCATTTGCAAAATGTCTGTCCATGTTAAGCCAAATTCATATAAAAAGTGGGCATTGCCTTTTCAAATCACACCGGCGGATACCGCGGTGAAAAGTGAATTCTTACAGAATCACTCTGCTGATTAAATGTATATATGTGTATATATGATGTTTAAATGGAGTCTTGTCGCGCTCAATATTGCTGATACAGAAGAAGGTGTGGTGTGCTGCTCTAGCCATCTTTGTCTTGCTAGACTGAACTTAATTCCCTAGCCCGTAGAGTTCAAAGCTCAACTAAAACACAACATACAACAGGGGTAGGTACTGTTAATTTATACTATGGTTTTCAGCAGGGTAGACGTTAGTTCCCCAGCCGGTTGTTTCAATTCAAGCGGAAAATTCGCTATGCCCTACCTCTCTTATTATCGGGGTCTGTCGGAACACCAAACAATTATAAGTACGAGTACATCATATTTGCTCTGCAAAGATTACAAGGAAGAAAAAATCCTTACATTGGTCAGGGGAACCTTTAATTATTCGTTTAGATAGTTTGGTTGAATATGTAGATCCTGCTGGGTTACTGAAGACCAGTACTAATTAATTTTGAAATAGACTTAAGTGGCTAATATAAGGCAAAAGTAGTCTGCAAAATTTGTGACTTGACCATACTTTTGCGTATAGGGAGTCATCATCTACTTATGTTTGAAATATTCTTGATTTTATTTATTTACTTGTTGACCCAATGAACTTTGTACCGCCTAATTTCTTTCTTCGTGAATATTTTCATAATTTATGCCCGCTATCAAGGTTTGTAAATTAATATCTTTGGTTTTGTCAATAATAATAATAATAAAAAAATAACAAATTATCCAATTTGGTGCAGTCGTTCGGAAGTAATGCGCTGACATACATTTGGGAGATTTATATTTTTAAGGTACCTTACCTCAAAAGTAAATAATTTAAAAACTTTAAATACGTTTTTATTTATTGCACTAAAAAGCCAAAAATAAACAAAATATACTCTTTGTTTACTTCTTTGGTGCCTTAGAGTTAGCCATGTTTATATTTATAGTATATATATATTTATGTTTTTTTAAAGCATTTAACTTGCGCTGTCTTGCAGCTTAAGGTTAGAGAAAATTCCACACGGCCGTCAGGGCCGCGGTAGCATAATGTCAGTGCATTCGCCTGGATAGCAAAGGGTGCGGGTTCGAGTCCCGTCTGTTGCCTGGTCGCGTGGATTTTTTTCTAGTAAACTTGTCTTTAGTATATTTATATATATATATGTTAAAATAAACTATAAACGTGGCTAACTCTGAGGCACTAATGAAGTAAACAGAGAATATATTTTGTTTATTTTTGGCTTTTTAGTGCAGTAAATAAAAGCGTGTTTTACGTTTTTAAACTATTGATTTATTTTTCTCTTTTTAGTTTATTACAAAACATAGAACAAAATAAGACAAAATGTAATGTGCTCAAAGTTGATATGTTTACTAGTAAGCAGTCCAGGGTCCATCAGCCACCTTCCAGTCCAACGTCAGGTCCTCGTCATCACAGAGGAGGAGCTGCTGTGGCGCGTCTACCGGGAGAGGAAAGAGAGCCTGAAGGTGGCCATTGCTAAAGCCAAAGATGAAGCCTGGGAGGAGTTTCTCGGGGAGCTGGATCGGGACCCATGGGGCAGACCATACAAAGGAGTCAGAAAAGGCATGGGTCAGCAGACCGTCCAGCTGGAGGACATGGACCCTGACCTCCTGGCGCAGACGGTGGCTGAACTCTTCCCAGAAGAAGCGCCCACCACATCTCCGCTTTTGGTGCCGCCGACGGAGGAAGGGAATGCGGTCTCCGCACCGGCCCCACCAGTCACTGATGTAAAATGGAGGCGGCCATCGATCGCCTGCGGGGCAAAAGGAAGGCTCCTGGCCCGGATGGAGTGCCGCGCGGAGTCCTGCCGATTGCCTTCAAGCACTTGGGTGAGCACTTCAGGGCACTACTGAACGAGTGCCTTGACGTGGGTGTGTTCCCCAGTGCATGGAAGAGGGGCAGGCTTTGCCTGCTGCGGAAGGAGGGGCGTCCTGCGGACCAACCAGCGGGGTACCGCCCGGTAGTGTTGCTGGACGAGGTCGGCAAATTCTTGGAGAGAGTCATTGCCGACCGCATTGTTCAGCACCTAGAGGAGACCGGGCCAAACCTGGCGCCACGCCAGTTTGGATTCCGCAGGGGCAAGTCCACAGTGGATGCGGTGCAGGAGCTGAAGAGGATGTCAGAGGAGGCAACGGGGAGAGGGGAGTGTGTTCTCGCTATATCGCTGGATATAGCGAACGCTTTCAACACACTCCCCTTCAGTTGTATCGAGAAGGCCCTGCACCACCACGAGGTCCCTCTCTACCTAAGGAAAGTGGTGGGGAATTACCTGCGAGACCGGGAACTCCTCTATTATGATGCGGGTGGGGAGGTCAAGGTGAGGAGCATGGTATGCGGAGTTCCACAGGGGTCGGTGCTAGGGCCAATCCTGTGGAACCTCGCGTATGACTGGGTCCTCAGAGGAACGCTATTGCCCCGAACAGCAGTCATCTGCTATGCGGATGATACGCTGATAGCGGTTAGGGGCAAAGCATACGAGGACGTCCGGAGGTTGGGGTCGGCGAGTGCCTCGCTAATAATGGCGAGGATTGGGATGTTGGGGATCAAGGTGGCAGCGGGGAAGACAAGGGCGGTAATGTTCCACGGATCCAGGGGCAAGCCGCCGGCCGGGGCGTATGTCAGGGTGGGCGAAGCCAGAGTGCCAGTAGAGCCCACCCTGAAGTACCTGGGGTTAGTGCTAGACGCGAAGTGGCGCTTCGATGCCCACTTCAAGCAGCTGGCCCCAAGGCTGATTAGTGCGGCGGCGGCGCTCGGTAAAATGCTGCCGAATATTGGTGGCCCCAGCGCCAGCTGCCGCAAGCTGTACGCTGGGTTCATTAGAAGTATGGCCCTATACGGGGCGCCCATTTGGGCAGATCACATAGGTGCGGGGAGTGAGGCCCTGCTACGGAGGCCGCAAAGGGTAGTGGCGCAAAGGGCCGCGCGGGCGTACTGCACCACGTCGTTCGCGGCCGTATGCGCACTGGTGGGGTCGCCTCCATGGGCGATTGAAGCGAGGGCACTGTCAAGCCTATATTGGCAAAGGGCGGAGGCCCGGCAACGGGGAGAGAGACTAACATCAGAGGAGGTGTTAGCCCACAGGAGGAGACTGGATGAGCTAGTCATGGAGCAGTGGGCCGAGGAGCTGGGGGCGCAGCAGTTCGGGGTGAGGACCCTGGAGGCGCTGCGGCCAGTCTTGGGGCAATGGAAGGAAAGGAGGCATGGGTCGCTGACCTTCCGTCTGGTGCAGGTGCTGTCAGGGCATGGATGTTTTGGCAGCTACTTGCTTCGCATATGGAGGGAAGCGACCCCGTCATGCCATCATTGTGGCGCTGCCGAGGACACGGCGCAGCACACCCTTGAAGAGTGCTCGTCGTGGTCTCGGCAGCGCCATGATATGGTCATGGCAGTGGGAAGGGATCTCTCGTTGCCCAGCGTCGTTAAAGCGATGCTGGACAGCTACAGATCCTGGAACGCGGTCGTCTCCTTCTGTGAGGAAGTCATCCTACAGAAGGAGACAGCAGAGAGGGCCCGCGAGGGGGACGCCCGGGCCGGTCCTCTCCGTCGCCGACGACCGGGGGGAAGACGGCGGCAGTACGACCGCCTCTTTCCACCCTAGTGAGACTGCGGGCGGCGGACAGGGTAGTCCGTCGCTCGCATTGCGCAGTCTCACCCGTCGAGGGAGGATGCCTAGGTGCTCCAGGGCATCCCCCTGACCATCAGGAGGAGGAGGAACCTCTGCCGGGTAACGTGGAGCGTCACCCGGATCCCACAAAACCCGTTCCGGCAGACGAGGGAGCACTGTTGGGTTTTTAGTGGGTAGCCCCCCCCCCCCCCTCATCCCGAACAGCCGCCGAGCCAGCCTGGCTGGGCGGGTGGGCGGGATTTGGGGGGAGGAGGAGTCCCACATAACCCCGCCACATACCGGCGGGGTATGCATAACGCATTTACCCAACATAAAAAAAAAAAAAAAGAGGTCCTCGTCATCAGGAGTAATGAACAGAAAATGTTAAGACGAATCTAATGAGCCCAAACTCGATATGTTTACTATTAGGCAGTCCAAGGTTCCATCAGCCACTTTCCAGTCCCATCATCAGACCAGCTCGATGGTACCATAATATTGTATTGTCATCGAATACAAGAATTAGAGTTTAAAACAGATTCTTAGATTCCATTACATAGTTACATACAGGTCGACCTAATAAAAGCGTGTTAAAAACAGAACCCTTATAAGACTATTTTGCTGTCCGTCTGTCTGTCAAGACCTTTTATCTCGGGAAGGCGTGGAGGTATCTAGTTAAAATTTAAACTGTATAGTTTTGAGTATATACTCAGGTCTACGATCCCTTGAAGCTGTAAAAAATTAACTTTTAAGTTAACATTAAAAAATATATGGCCGTTTATGTTGTGTACTTAAAATTTTGTGCGGAATCCTCGGTGTGTGTCCGATTTGCACTTTTCCGCGCTCCGTTTATTAATTTAAATTAATTAATTTATCAAATTTTTTATTTTATAGATCATCAAAAAACCAACAACATATCTTTATTGAGCTTACGTTACTTTACGTCTCATTATAAGTCATGGTTACAAAACTAGATTAACTACAAAACTATATAAAAGATAAAAATTCATGAGTTAAACCCAAGATAATGATCATTCTAATATTGTAAGGATATGCCATAATTATAAAGAATTAAAAATTATGTGAAATTATATTATGCAGCTTTGGTTAATAAAAACCGAGTTTTTCTCTTTACTGCTGTGGCATATTTATAGGCTCATAAAAATAGAGGGTTACCCGGAGTTGTAAAGTGGGTGGAAACATTTTACGTTATAATTTTCTCATGGATCTAAAAATAAATTTCATGTGGATAATAGTTCTGGCAGTACTAATTCTATTTTTGATATTTACAGTAAAGCTGTATTTGTATAAATTAGTTTGTTTTTTTTTATAGATAGGTCCGACAAATGACTCAAACCCACCTGATATTAAGTGACGGTGAAGTCCAGACGTGAAGATAGCTGGTACAGCAGTTCTACCTGCCACACCAGTCATCCTCGCCTTGCGGGCCTGCATGCTGCTTGTTGTTCTTCACGCCTCTTTTAAAGGATCCCAGGTGGTAAAAACTAGGGAACACGTGAGCAGGCAGAGTATTCCATTTACAGATAGTGCGACAAAGAAATAAGTCACCATATTTCTTTGGACGCGTTGGAATTGTGGCCACAGTTAAGTACAGTTGCTCGGGCATGTAAATACGCCACACCTTGTTAAGGACTCCGAGTTTGCGTGTGGTCGTTTTTACTACGCTTTCGATGTAATTCTTTGGATTTAAGTCACAGCGAATTTAAGTGCCCTGCATGGTGATACTGCTCTCTAGCTCCAGTGTTGTGCCCTGAAGAGAAAAACATGAAAGGAATGGCGACGTTTTTGCCGTGAAAGCGCAGACCTGGTTTTTCTTAGCATTGAACTCAACCATGTCCTTGGTACCCCATTCAGAAATGTGGCCCAAAGCTTGATTGAGTTCAATGACAAGATTCTCTCGTTTTTCCTTGGTTACCGCCTGTCCAGTCGCTGTTTGTTCGAGATACCCCGCATGCATTGTACTAACCTCTGATCCAAGCACGTTAAGCCGCTTGCTTACGCGAAACAGCTTTGCTTACGCGAAACAGCTTTGCTTACGCGAAACAGCTTTGCTTACGCGAAACAACAACACAGTCGCGATTGAACCAGAGGTTACGGGCACACGTTACTGATGATATTAGAATGAGGAATATAGTATTCCATACCCATTATAATCTCCTCAGTAATAGCAACGGCGCTGGCCGATAGCTCCCTCACTGAAGCAGCGCTGCTTCCAAGGGACGGACGCAAAGTAGTCATGCATACCGTCCCAATCTGCCGACCCATAGTGTCAGATACGGCGTTTGATCACCCCTGGACGCGGGGGCTTGGCATGTGTTGCTTTGGCAGATATCAGGCAGTGGTCCGACGAGCCCAGGGGGGCTCTTACCACAACCTGATAGCCCTGTGGGTGGGTCGTGAGCAGAAGGTCCAGTAAAGAAGGCGCTTGACTTAGAATATCTGGGATTCTGGTGAGCTGATCAACCAGTTGCTTCAAGTCATGCGTTAGAGGGAATGCGTCAACGGGGATCTCGCATGGTCGGTTTTGGAGGAACTTAACCACATATTGTGGTGGGAAATTGTCCCTGCGTGTCCTCTGCTGTCCGATTAAGGTGCTCAAAAAGTCGAGTTGTCTCAACATCGCCGGTGTGGGATTTGTATAGGCACACGTAGACTCTAGCCAGGGGACCAGAGTCGACGTGTACTCCCTGCATGGAGAAGGAGGGATCTTCCAAGCAGCGGAGATGGCGACAACAAACGTTCGCCCGAACATACAGGCATACCCCGGCTTTTGCTTTGAAGGACTCTTCAAGCACTTAGCCGGTATAGGGATATATTAAGGTAGCCTGTGTCAGCAGGCGGAAGTATTTGTGTCTCCGTCAGGAACAACAATGCTGGCCAGCGTTGAGGTTAGAGTGGAGTTGTTGAAGGTGTGGGGGTGAGCACCGTTGTACGTCCAAACTTTGTTTTAGGGTCTGCCATGATGGAGGTGAAAAAGAGACGTGAAATGAGAGGACGTTGTCGCGACAGGACCGGACAAATTAGGGAGGTTTGTTTCCCCGAATGACTGCCTGCAGAGGGGATGCGCCGACCCGCCGGACGGAAGGGCTTCTGCACCCCCTCGGGAGTGGTCGCCGGGACTCCACGCCCCGGTCCCATGCTCGGGCCCCTGAACTGTGTCACGGGCGGCCAGCTGGACAGCCTTTTCTATAGGTATCCTTAGTCGGCGGGTCGTTGCAGTCTTCGCAAAATCGGTTCGACGAATGCCTTCCCTGAACTGAATCTGTGGCAGCATCCCCCACTCGAGTTTTTTTTGTACGCTGGCTCACCCCGAAACGTGAGAAGCAATTCACGGGTTTTTTCACCATGCGCACTTTGGCAACAAACCAGGCGGGTGTTAGGAACCCTACCACCAGAAGAGAGGATGGAAGAGCCGATATCCCGTAGTCGCTTCTTACGACACCCACGGGAAGAGAAGGGCCAGTGAGTAGTATTCTTTTCTTTCCGTCACCGCACGGATTAAAAGTGATCTTTCATCTTCAAATAAAATGGATGGCGCCAGCATCCTGAATAAGAAACTGTAGATATCGAGGGCAAAACTGAAAACTGAGAGAATTTCCAAAAAAATAAAAAGTAGTAGTTCTAAAGTTAAAAAACTGTAGGGTTGGCTGCATAATTAACGAGATACTTACTTACTTACTAGTAATTATGTAATAGGAAGTAATTAGTGGACATAAATAAAAAAGGAAATGACTCCTCTGGGTCAATGAATCGTTCATATAGAATAGAGTCGTCCGATGTTGGTGAAGCAAATGAAGCTTTGTTAACCATATAGACTAGTACAGACTTACTAATAGTTTTAGTCTTTTATGATTTGAATGTTTAATTAATGAAAATTATTATCTTTTTTTGCTTTATACAAAGAAAACATAAAATGTTATCAAGACAAATTTTCAATCTTAGTTGAAGCAACGGTTTAAAGTTTTATCTCGAATGCAAACTCATGATATTTTTTTTGTCCTTATGTGCGTAATAATTCGTCAGTATCATCATCACCAGCTTGTTAATAACACCATTGCGGGGGCACATGCCTTCCATATAGATAAGTAGAATGTGGAGACATGACCTATCACGCTGGCTCAGTGCGGATTTGTGGGTGCTAACGTTTGCAGCAGCCGGGACCAAACGGCTTAACGCACCTTTCGAAGCACGGAGGAGGTCCTGATAATTATTTTTTGGTCACCCATCTAATGACTGGTAATTGTGAAAGTTTCTTAACTTCCACTTTCGCAAGCCAAACGCACTAACCACCTATGCCATCGAGATCCTCCTACATTATCAATGGACCCTAAGAGTAATGCCTTAATTCTAAATAGTTAAAAGTTAAGAGCGAAAATAAAAATTCAAAATGCTGGCAGCTACCTTGCTCAACGGATCAGCCTTGCTATCCAACGAGAAATGCTGCCAGCCTATTGGGCACTGTTCCTGACGACGGTACTAGGGGTGATATCTCTTTTATTTATTAAATATCTATTTATTTAAGTAGGTAAGTTTTAAGATAATTTTATTTTTACGTTTTTATACATCTAATATATAAACGTAAAGAATTATTGTAAAATGATAAATAATAAAAATTAAGTTTTTTAAAGTAAAAAAGGCGGTAAACAATCGTATGCCCCACCTAATGGTAAGCAGCCATACCAAAAATATCACTCACACCGTTGCCTACCATGTCTCAATCCCCTACCCCGTGGAGCCCTGGAACCTTACTCACCGGTAGAAACACAACACCACCAAAAGGTATTGTTATTTTACTATCATCTTCATTAAGGTGGAAGTTACTTCCTCAGACCGGTGCTCCAATTCGAGCGGGAAATCGGCTATGCCCTATCTCTCTTAAAAAAATAACCTATATCTTTTCTTATTCTATTTGAAGAACCATTTTTAAGTTTTATATATTATCCGCAATAATAAAGCGGTTTAATTTTTTTTCTTGCTTTCTTTATAATGTTGTAATTTAATAATTAGTGCTGTGTATGACTGCTGTAAATATGACATTTGTGATATTTGACATCCTTGCCTGCTGTAATCGATTTTATTTTATTTGATTAATAATTGGTTTATGATGTAATTTAAATGAATTGTAATTATTTGAAATTTATATTTTTTATTATTATTATTGTGATCATAATTATTTAATTTGATTATCATTTTTTTTTCTATTTCTGTATGTAATATGGGTACTACGACTGAAATAAATGGTTATTATTATTATATTTCTGTTACTACTCTGACAATATAAAAACAAAATCGACTTAAGTAATAAATGAGCCTGTACAAAAACTGTGGATTTTGGGCGTTTATTGCAATCCTTAATTGACGATGATGATAATGTCAAAATTTAAAAAGGATTGTTATGATAGTACCTGATCCTACTTAGCTACTTAAAAATAAATAGTAAATATTTCCAACACACACTAATTAGTCTTGCCCCAAATTAAGCACTAAGGCTTGTGTTATGGGATACTAGCTAGGGAACGGATAGAATACATATTGTACATATATACGCATATTTATATAGACATACATATTAAACATCCAGGACTGGAGTACAAATGCTCGTATTCATCACACAAACATCTGCCCCTACCGGGATTCGAACCCGGGACCTCTCGAGTCGGCGACACCTCGAAACCCGGCGTATAAACCAGTCGGCCACGGAGGACGACAAAAATATGCAAAATAAAAAATATGTAACTCCAGCGCCGCCGCGCCGTCAGGAATGGTGCCCAATACGCTGCAGGCAGCATTGCCACGTTGGATGGCAAGGCTGATCCGTTGACCAAGATGGCTGCCAGCCTTTTGATCGCCAGTCACATCAGTGATCCTCTTTGACAATTCCTTTTGATATTATATTTAAAGGTAAGCCCGCTGATGCGTCAGATACTTAGTTGGATACCAACTTTATATATAAATAGAATGTTCTTATGTAAATTGCATATATTTTAAGCTTTAATCCAGTTTTTCCTTGGGATTCACGGTTACAGTTACAATATGCAAAATAGATCAACATATCTACCATATTTTTCAATAATCGCGTTTTAGTAATTTTTACTCTGATCAATTGTATGCTGGCATCAACGTGTTACAGTTACTAATGCCAGTTTCCATAATCAATCTTCAGTAAATGGTAAGTTATTATGGTTCCCTTTCTTAGCAACAGCTGTTATTTTAATCTAAATAAAAAAAATATCTTAGTAACTAATCTTATTATAGCTACTATATTTGGTTTGATTGCAAAATATTCAATTGTTTCAAAATCCTCATCGGATCCGCGCGTGAAAATTTTACAGAATAGCACTGCTGGTCGTTGGTGAGTAAATATGGTCTTGCAACAAAAATTAGATTTTCCCTATGGATAAAATTGGGAGAATACTCGGGCTATATGTTTTAATCTACGCCGCGAGGTATGGTGAATGAATATTCTGGTCGCCATTTTAAAGTAACTACAATAAAAATGGTATATTTTTCAGCTAGCCAGCTAGCTAGCAAACTTGTAAGTTGTTCATTTATCTCCACTTAAAATGGGATGCATTTTAAGCCCCTATTTTCGAATTACTCAAAATTGTAGAACAATGATTCTAGACTACCACTTAGTCCTACATAAATGTCAGTCAACTTTGCATGTTATAACAAGCTGGATTAAATCAAACGTAATTTGTTTATAATAGATTTTGATAACTTGACACGGTGATAAGATAGTATTCGGCATTCCGAAACATTAGACGTGTCACGGGTCGGGTCTCATCTAGCACTTCCTGGGCTCCGCCTGCTCAATAGTGGCACTGCCTTGCAATCCAAAAGATGCTGGAGATGGCTTGACACGTTCATAAGGCAGAGCATAGCGGATTTCCCGCTCGAATAAATACGTTACGACCGTTTGGGGAAGTAACCTCCACTTAAAAGAAGATCGCAATAAAATAACACTACCTTATGGTGGTGTTGTGTTTCTGTCGGTAAGTAAGGTTCCAGGGCTCCACGGGGTAGGGGGTTGGGTCAGGCTAGGCAACGGTGCGATTGATATTTTTGGCATCGCAAGCATCTATAGGCCATGATGGCCGTTTACTATAAGGTGGGTCATATCCTTGTTTGCTGCGCTTACAACATATAAAAAGGTCTCAATAGCATGGAGGTAGTGCATTCTCTCGGATAGCGTAAGGCGTCAGTTTGAATCCCGCCTAACATTAGGGATGACAGGTTCAACAGGCTGTATATATTCTAGTTTGTCTGACTACTTCAAATCGATTTGCTATCTCGTTACGATAAATAATCTTGCCCTAAGAACTCATACGATTTAAATGCAATTCAAAGTGATTATTATTGTTAATGACTATGTAGTTAGTACCCGCAATTAAAGTGCCTAGCTCTATTTTATTCCAGTTGAATTAAAAAAAACAAGGTGGGTGACAAATTACCGATTTAGTAAATAAATTGTTTAAGGCTTTTAGACCCACTTGCACCAAAGTTCTTAATTCAAAATAAATTGATCATTCTTAAAGGCGCGTTGACATGCTCAAATTTTGCTTTGACGAAGTACCTTTGATGACTACTTTGAGGTTACTTTGATCGTGTAAACTAGCAATCAAAGTGCACAGGGATCTTAATTTTTAGATTTAAGTCTTGTCCAAAATATTGAAATAGGATTTTGAAAGTCATATTACTATGATAGACACGATTAAAGCATTTATTACTTTTTCTTCATAAGAACATAGGAACGCGTTCAGCCTTATGTCTATCAGCCGTTTTCAGAAATACCAAAATATTTTTATTGGTCCATTATTAAGTTCCGTGTTTATTTATTTAGTTTTATGGGCAGCTAAAATTCAGCTAAAACGTACACAACTGGAATAAGATAGGTGAACATATGGTACCAAGAAGAACACATGAAAAAAATCCAGCAAAAATTAATAGATTTCAATAAAAAATGTTAAGTGACGAAACAAAGGGGCCAAAGGCAGTGAAAACTACTGATTTTACAAAAGCGTGTTACTAAACTCATTGTTTAGCTATTAGCTTTGATAGGAAATTGAGTTATGTTATGGGTCATATTTCATGTTTTTTGTAGTTTTATGTGTCATATTTTTACCTACTTTTAAACGCTCTTAGGATATTTTTATGTCCATTATATACTTTACTTATATGAATAAAGTTCTTAAAGTTTTAGGATGGATATTATTCACTAATCCGCCATGTAAAACCACCATATATTATGTTGGGTAGATATAAAAGTTCTAGGGTTAAAATGAGACATCTTCGAAACCTTAATACTAGTAACTGTCATGACACAAAGATTGAACACTTACCATTCATGAATTAAGCGTGTAGTGTGAAAATTGACTGGTGTCCCGCCACGTCCATAGCGGTGGCAGGCATGACTGCTGCAGGCCAGCCAACAGCTCCGCGTGGTACCGCTGCGCCGCCAGCAGGTACGGCGGTGGCAGCGGCATGGGGCAGTGCGGCTGCAGAGCCGGTGCTGGTGACGGGGACCGCCGCGGCTCGGGCTCCAGGAGAGCATCTATCGTGAACGCTCGGCGGGGTCTCGGCCCCGTCGGCAACAAGGCTGCTGTGTCCGGCGCTTCCAACGGCTCCGGACTGGGCCTCGGACATAACGCAGCTGGTGAATACAGACTCCCATTATGTAAAGTGCTCTGCGGTGGACCGCCGGCCTGTCGTGCCAAAAACGCCCTATTGAAACTTGCCAAAGCAGCCAGCTCAGCGTTCAAACTGTCCTTTTCCCCTTTGTGCAGCTTGAATCGCTTGCGCCGGCGCAGTAGAGAACCGTTTTCGAACATGTCGAAAGCTTGCGGGTGCAGCGTCCAGTACGCGCCCTTGCCGGGTCTGTCCGGCCGCCGCGGCACCTTCACGAAGCAGTCGTTGAACGACAAGTTGTGCCTCAGAGAGTTCTGCCAGCGTTGAGTGTTGCGTCTGTAGTAAGGGAATCTGTCCGTGATGAATCTGTAAATCTCCGATAGCGGCAGCATCCTCTCCGGGGAGCTCCAGATAGCCATGGCCGTGAGAGCGATGTATGAGAACGGAGGTTTTTGGTCACCATAAGATTCGCGAGTGGGTCGAGGCATCTCCGCGAAGAGCCGTGCTGTTTTGACAAGTGAATCAGTTGGTTTTGGCAAGTATGAGCACACGTCCTCGCATCGGCGCGGCAGATAAGGACTGGGAGCGAGCGAGAGTGCGCGCCGGCGGGCGGGGCCGACGCCGCCCCGCGCGCCTCGCCCAATGGCGTGCGGCCCTGTTTGTTTGTTGTTTTTGTCGGCTCCGGACCCGTTACAGAGGAATTTAAATTGTTATCACGTTTACATTATACAAAATTTATTCGACACCGACAACACTTGAGCTTGTTTCGAAATTGCAATGATTAAAGAAGTGGGGTACTTATCGATAGTGTGGGAGAGGGAGTCTGTTGATTGGAGATGAATTTTATTGAATGTGGGCGGGTTAGAAGATATTGGGCAAAATATAACAGTACCTACCTAATGACGTGATTGTTATCAGTATTCCAGAGTACATACCTAGTGCTCTATGCTTCTTCCATTTTCATTTAAGCTAAATTTTCAATCTAAAGTTATAAATTTAAAAAAATAAATAAAAAAGTAATATAATTTTGGATCTATTTGGTTATTTAAAAGATGTGTTTTAATTACAACTTCTTTCTGTTGAGTTTTAGGTGTTCTTCTAAACAGAATCGCATGATAACGGGTCATCATAACCTACCTCTCGGGCCTAACATGGATTGATGACCATCTTGCTAACTGTTAATACTAAAATTAAAAGTTAAAAGTTTGCTATTAAACTTTATTACCTATATGAGTAAATATTTATAGGATCCTTTATCCTTGTGTAAATATTTATAGGTTTCTTTTATGTTTTCTATGTAATGAACTTGTATTAGAAACAAAACTTGTGATAGGTAGGTATATTTTTACTTCTCCAACAACATTTCGTAAAATTTAAAATTTTAATTGTAGGTATGGTATACCTTTCTAACAAAACCGAAAGACTTTGTATTGCCAGATAAAAATTTAAAAAATCCTACAACCGAACTGCAGCGTCATCTATCAGGTAGTAAGCTGTAAGTTAGGTTTTCCTAAATTTTCAAATTTTCTGCGCAGCTTTCTTATTCTTGTCCCCTGAAAACCGTCTAGGTACATTGAAATAGAAAACTTAAAAAAATCTAAATCAGTAATATCATCAGTATATATCTTTCATAAATTATGACGTGGCTAAGGAAAATACACATTAATTTTTATATAGGTACCTAGTCTTACCATAAATATTATTATAAAGATTTTTTTTCTACTACATAAATCATTTATCAATATGTGTGTTATTTTTCCATGAATATAATAATTCTGAATTAAAAAGATATGAAGCTCATTTAAAATGATCTCCATTGGCTCCTGATCTACAGTCCTTGATTTACAGTCTAAAATGATCTACAGTCCTTTAAAACTTGAGGCTTGATATCAATAGAAACACGTACTCTCATCATGGGAAAATTCTTTACTGCCAATCTTATGGGTTGTTTCAGGGACTCCAAATTTTCATGGAGTTTAGAGCACAAAACTGACCATAAATTATATTCCAGCGAATTAAGATCGGGACTAGATGACGGCCAGTCTTCAGCTCCGATGAAGTCAGACGTTCGTTTCCAACCACGCTCGGGTGGATCAAGCTATATGACCCAGCGCTGAGTCTTGCTAAAAGGGTCACTCTTGGAACATGGTGTAGTTAAAAGGCTTAACTACCCTCAAGAATTGTATCTCCATACACTTATCCCGATGTTTTAACACCATTTTCAAAAACATAATTCACTCTTTGATATTTAGCTAACTTACCACCGAACTATCACCGAAGTTGGATGATGTCCACGTTGTACTCTGCTGACTAATTGGAAAGCTTCTATAGAGCTTCGAGCATAAACTTGGTCATACTGCTTGTGTTAACATTGTTCAATAGTTCATATTTTCTCGTCAATTTTTTTTCTATGACCTCCCTTTGCTTAAAAGGTTTTTTTAATGGCTAGTGCGACTTTATAGGCTACAAGTCCTAAGTTATCTTTTAAAATACATGACATCGTTCTAGGTGTAAATTTATTTCCCGAGATAAAATCGTTTGCTTTCGGGTTCTTTCCTTCACTGCTGCTGCTTTGATCGCCTTTCGGTACGAAAACAACGGTGAGGGTCAGATCTTTTTCTGTCACAAACTGAGGAGGTTTCCAAGGAGGATGATCAATAGCGCGGTACACAAACATTCGACTAACAAGCGGATGGAGACTTTACAAAATCGCACCTGGCTTCATACCTGCTTTGTTCACTTTATCATTAATATTACAAAAATATTTAACACCGACTGGTGCAAAAATGAGAAAAAAAACGAGTGTGCTAATGACCACACGACTGAAGTGAAACTTCTTAAGCTCCATTTGTATTGTAATACTATCTTACTTTTTTAGTTGTAACAGTATTTTATGTCCAGACATAGTATAGTACGGCTTTATCTATCATACTGCGACATACAGCACTACCGTCAACGAATTTTCATGCAGTTTTCATCTTCAGTAAAAAAAAATACACAAATTGTGGGTTACCTACAATGCGAAGAGATGGCGCTGCCTTTCAGCCGCGGTAGCATAATTGGTCAGTGCATTCGCCTGGATAGTGAAGGGTGCGGGTTCGAGTCCCGTTTGCTGCCTGGTCCGCGTGGATTTTATTTTCTAGTTATATTTTCTTTAGACTTAAACATCAAACAGTTACATGCTAAAAAAATAAAAAATATAAATACCCAAATCATAAAAATATGACATTTATAAAAATACCAATAATTACACTGTTCACCGAATCAAAGCGGGAGCCACTAATGGTTATTAAAAAAAATAGATAAAAATAAGAAACAAAGCATTTCAATTACTTATATTACAAAAAGTTGTTAATTGAAAAGCATTCATTAGTTACACATTGACATCTCTTAAAACTGGTGCTGTCGTTGAGATGTAATTCAGAAAATGGACGACTATCAATCATGAGTACTGAGCCGCCTCGGGGTTTCAAAATGCCGGTTTCGTAAGAGCGTAATTTGCACAGCACGAAACCACCTCCCGGCGTAGCTGACGACGTGTTACTCTTATAAATTAGACACGATTCTAGTCTTTAAGAGCACCGGAACGATATAAGTGCTTGTATGCTAATACACGAGAGAGTACGGAGTTAAGTTATTTGCAGTCATGGCTTCGAATTTCTATTAGCAACGATATTGAACTGGCAAGTAATGAGTGAATAGTAAATTTCATAAAATATCGGGGTAGTCGCCTTTCTTTTGTTAAGATTGATTTAAACTTAAGTTGCTCTTTAAATCACAAATTATTTCTTACATTAATGTGCGTACTACGAGAGATCAATTGACCTTTAAGTGAGATAAAAGTGATCACTTTCTTTTCATGAACTATAGAGTCAGATAACACGTGTCTTAAATCGCATTAAATTTATTTGAAGTCTCTGACTTCCTACGGCCGTAAGAAAAATAAGTCATTTCGCCACATTCACTTGGGCGCAAGCTGAAAAATGTATCCACTGGTCATTACTTTTCTGTTAAACAATAAATAGTTCTTATAGTAACGAAACGGCCAAGCCACCTATTTTGACTAAGGAGAAGAGTTTGTAAAGTTAGGCCTTATAGAATTAAAGCGTGTAGAAGCTTGGTTACTTGCTACATGAGATTTGATAACTTTTTGAGTTGAGAGTGCGACTCATATGGTCTCGTCTTAGCAGATTTTACATGAATATGGTTTTGATGGGATATCATTTCTTTTTGTAAGTTGCTGGTGACATTGTTTTTCTTTTTGTTGTTTATAAACGTTACGTTATTGTATTATACTTTTTTTATATTATTTTTTTACCTTTGTATATCTATGGTTATCAGTCTTCTTGCAATGCTTTAGGCTTGCTTGAAAACAATGACACCTGGCATGCAACATTGAGTGAGGCAGCATTATTTCAATTACCACCTATAATACGCGAGCTTTTTACTATCACGTTGGTGTTGCCAAGTGTCTGATCCATCTGATAAAATCGTGTCTTAGGGATGATGATTAATTTTTTTTTCTTCGTTTATCAGGTAGATTATCAAAAAGTATTGGACACGTATTTTTTCTTTTTTCACATAATATAAACATTGCAGAGATATATTGATTTGAAAAGTCGCATGACGTCACGTTTGAGTACACTTATAAGTGAAAATTCACTAAAAAGTGACGTCACGAGCCCCTACTCCCAAACTTTGACGCGCTATAACATTGTCATTTTTTGGTTGATTGCCCAAAGAAAAAATACGTGTCCATTATTTTTTGATCATCTAACTGACGGACTAAATAGAATTTCGTTTACTGTACCCCGTCATCACCCCTTTAAAATAAACAATAAATATGAGAGTCCACCTTGTAGGTGATGTTCCCGCTAGCCAATTTTCGGATCTTTTGCCAAAACTGAGTAACGGTGATTACCCAGAAGAAGATGGCATGATATGGCCCTTCTGATCTGTGCACTTCAGTAACAACAGCTGAAAACCAGATTTCAAAAATTCAATAATTCATCCAGACGTTGCGCTTATCTCGGAAAAATCAATAGAGTGGTTAAGCGACAGAGCTATACTAACCCCAAAGAAAGACCAAGCAGCGGTCATTAATGACATATTACTGAACTTCTTAGAAAGAACAAGAGATTGTTTATAACTCAATAAATACTGTGTTAAATACTGACGATGCCGTTAATTATCCAGTAGAGTTCTTAAACACTTTGAACCCACCGAGTCTCCCATACCACAGACTTTTACTGCGTGTGTACACCTGTTATGTTAAAAAGAACGTTGAAGCCACCCAAACTTTGCAACGGCAGTAGGTTGCAAGTCAAAGCATTGCACCGAAACGTAATAGAAGCCACAATTTTGACCGGACCTGCTCAGGGAGAAACAGTGTTTGTACCACGTATTCCATTATTACCAAATGATCTCCCTTTTGAATTCAAAAGGCTCCAGTTTCCCCTGAAGGTCTGTTTCGCTATGATCATAAATAAATCGCAGGGGCAAACTCTCAAATTCGCCGGAGTACATCTACGACAGGACTGTTTCTCCCACGGTCAGTTCTATGTTGTCATGCTCCCGTGTAAGTTCGTGATATGGAATACCAGTTTCGTTATATTCAAAGTTTTTAAGAATTATACTGAATGATTTATCTACTGCATCATCAGTGTTTACACAGTATTTCTGTCTTTCAAAGGACTTCGACATTAATTATTGGTAATTAAAACAAAAAACCATTTACTGTTACTGTAGTGCATAGATACCTTTACTAAGGGCCATTTAAGTTACGATTTTTCTATCGACGTTCCCTTTCGGCCTATCGGAAAAGTATGTTGTAAGTCTTTGATCCTTAGTTTTGCCAAAATCAAACGAAATTCAACCATATTTCCCGGTTTCCAAAATGTATACATTTTTGTTCATCTGTTAATGAATCACAGAAATTATTACTTCAAATACTGACAAACCTTTTAAAGCTATCACATCGTTAAGTAATCTTTTTACCGGCTATAGTACTTCTATCCAAGACAATCATTTTAGGTTTTTCATAATATTTTTGTAAGTTTGTCTGTTCTGCTTTGAAACCGATATATGTATATTTTTAGTCATTTTGGAGTCATTGTATTGCACAGGGAATGTCCCGCTTTGTAAATATAAAAT